TGTGAAGGAAGAGCAGAACTTCTGGCTTCTGCTGTGTTGTCATCTACAACTCACACACCTCTGGGCTCTTTGTTCACTTCCTTCCCACTTCACCCCCTTCCCAGGAATGCCTTCTCTGACCTCCCCTCTCACATCCAACCTTCATTAAGGAGAATTTCCCGATTTCACTGCACAGATTTATCTGCTCTTCTTTATTTATTTATATAGACAGGGGAAGAGTGAGAGGAAGAAAGGGATAGAAACATCGGTGTGTGGAAGAAACCTCAAGCAGTTGCCTCTCACACATCCCCAACCTGGGACCTGGCTTACAACCCAGGCATGTGTCATGACCAAGAATTGAACCCACAACCTTTTTTTTTTTAAAGATTTTATTTATTTATTTTTAGAGAGGGAAGGGAGGGAGATAGAGAGAGAGAGAGAGAAACGTCAATGTGAGGTTGCTGGGGGTTATGGCCTGCAACCCAGGCATGTACCCTGGCTGGGAATTGAACCTGGGACACTTTGGTTCCCAGCTCGCACTCAATCCACTGAGCTACACCAGCCAGGGCCAACCCACAACCTTTTGGTTTGCAGGACAACATTCATCCCACTTAGCCACACCAGCCAGGGCTTTCTGTTATTCTTTATACCCTGCTACTCTGCTCCCTCAGATTCTTCTCAGTAACCTAGGTATGATAATTACTGTCAATAAGGATCAAATGAACCCATGAATGAGAGAGACTATTAATATTAAATGTTAACTCAAACATCTCATGGATATTTGTGTGTCTGTATGGTTTTGTCTGTGGTCTCTAGGTGTGTGTCTTAGAGAGAGAGAGAGAGAGAGAGAGAGAGAGAGAGAGAGAGAGAGAGAGAGAGAGAGAGAGAGGGAAGGGAAGAGGAATAGTGGGTAGAACACCACTGGAGGAATCAGGGAATCATGGAGATCAAGGTTCATAAGAACAGTATATTGGCTTGTCTTCTTACATGTCAATGAACTTTTCCTTTCTAAGTATCTACCTACTACAAATAGGAGGATTTTATTTGATATCATTTCCTTGGTTGAAATGCTTTCTTGGAGTAGAGGGAAGTGCATGAATTCAGTGTTTCTCAGCCATGGGTCTGTGCAGTTGCAGAGTGTGGAAGAGGACCGAAAACCTGGAGATTCAAGAAGTTAACAATAAAAAAGGATAGTTTTTGGTAATCTTTTCTCATCACTTTAACAATACTGGTCTCAACTCATTTTTTGAATCATTTTAGGGAGCTTTTAAAAATGAGATAGTTTTATGTGTTAATCAAGTTATGTTTGAATAATTAAAAACTCAAAGAACATATACTATTACCCTATTCAGAGGAATTGCTGGGGTTGGTAGGAGGAGAAAAGTAGGTATCAAGTAGGGCTTCAACTTCAAATGTTTTCTGATTCAAGCTTGTTTCCCCATAGTCATCCTTGCACCACTGAAAGGACTAATATATAGAGAAGGTATATAAGTGACTTATTGCTCAGGACTGATGGTGGGAACCTTAGGCTTTCAGGAGGCTGGCTGGGGTAACAGTAAAGGGTAAGGCCCCAGTCAATAATTTTTCCCTTAATTGTTTCCCCCAAAAAAGGCATTTGCATTTAGGATGGATTAACATTTTCACAAAATCACTGATAACCTTACTAGTCAGGGATAATAATGGTTGTCATTTTGATATAGCCTCTTTATTTTCATTATTTGCCATCATGCATAAGTATATGAACAAAATCTTATCAAGGTACTTATACTTAATATGGTATAAAGAACCCTCTCATCCCTTGTCCTATCACTTGAAGCTGATTCTCTGAAACAGTTGTTCCTTGGGAAAGAAGATATCTTCTTCTGTCAGACTCCCTGCTGCCTGGGGTACTAGTTACCCAGAGCAAAATGGACATAAATGATAGTCTTTTTGAAATGGCTACTTAAGAAACAGCTAAAAAATTGTTAGCTTTTTGGAGAGGGCTCTAGAAACCACTATTTTTTAGCTGGGAAAGCTTAAGCCTGAAGAAGGTTGAAAGAAGGGAATCATGACCATCACATATCCCCCACCTGGACTCAAAAGCTAGTATTTGCACTGGAGCAGAGCCAACACCAGCTAATGTTCTCCCACATTTGCTTGAATTATCTCTAATTGTATGTATTTTATATACATGTATATACATGTAGAGCCAACACCAGCTAATGTTCTCCCACATTTGCTTGAATTATCTCTAATTGTATATATTTTATATATGTGTATATACATAAATATAAATATTCAAATGTATGCATAAATTTACCATATATACTGTAACAAATAATAATATATAGTTACATATGTAATGATTTTGATGAATTATTTGAATTGAACCATGACACTTCATCCACAGAGATTTCAGCATGAATCACTGAGAATGAGGACCTTCTCATAGTACCATATGACTATTATAAATAATTATTTTATTATGTTATCTATTATTCAGTCCTTATTCAAATTTCCTCAAATGTCCCAACATTGTCAAAGAATGCCTTTCAGCTCTATTTTATTTATCACAACTAGGTAAAAGGGGATGGTATATCCCCCCTAGATTATCTCTGTCTTGTTCTATTTTTGAATAGTTTATCAGAAAACAACTTGTCAACAGATGATTGGGCTCCTTACATCTCTAGGAAAAAGGTAGCAAGTGTGGACAGATGTGATGATTAAGCAGCCATTCATTTGGCCATTTTCACTGTGTGTGATCATCTAATATTGTGTCTCTGCCTCTAATTCTAGTAGAAGCCAATAAACCAAGGCCACTGTCAAATGATTAATTTTGGGCCCAGGATTCTCTTAGGAACACAAAAGGCAAGGATGACATTTCCCACTGAGAATGGAGCCATCATTTGAAGAGTACACACCTCATGTTCTGTGTAATGTCCCTCGATTTGTATTTGCCTAATTATTTCCTCATTATTAGATTCTGGTCATACATTTCTGAGGAGAGTATCAGGGACACTGTGTTGTGCAGCCAGTAGAGAGGATCAAGAAGCACTTGATTTAAATTTGCCTGACTGTTGGTGATGTTTGCTTTGGTTAATGTTCTGTCCAGAAAAACATCAGTAATTCATGAGGAGAGCATTTGAGATGCTGTAAATATCCTGTACCACTGAAATTTTCCATCAGTTTCAGAACTTATGAAAGCAATTTGTCTAAATTAATTACTATTCCAATGGTGGCAAAATGGCAATTTTCTAATACTATTATGTAGTGTTCTTTTATGTATTTTTGCTGGCATTTAATGTAAAGAGTAGCTTTCCTTCTGCTCTTTCTCATTGTACCTTATTTGATGGCCTATCAGTTGCAACTCTGTGGTAGCATAAAACATGCCACCTAAAAATGTCCACACTCTACCCCTCTAACCTGCATATATTATCTTAGGTAGCAAAAGGGATTTTGCCATTTTGATGAAGGTTAGAGATCTTGAGATAGGAAGATTATCCTGGATACTCTTACCTAATCACCTGAATCTGTACAAGCAAGAAGCTTTCATGACTCTGGGCAGACAGAGAAGATGGAAAAATGGCCACAGATATGTGTCTTGAGAAAGACTTCTTCCTTCTTATTGCTGGATTAGTGGATGGAAAAGTTGGCCATGAGCCAAGGAATGTGGACAGTCTCTAGAAGCTTGAAAAGGCATAAACTAATGCAACCTTGCCAATAGTGAATTTTAACGCAATGAGGTGTATGCTAGATTTCTGGAAAACAGACTTGTAAGATAGTAAATTTATATAATTTTAACCTGCTATATTTGTGGTAATTGTAACAGCAACAATTGAAATCTGATACAAATATTTTGTTATTTGGAGGTTGCTAGAGGGATTACATATATATAATTAATCACAGTCACCCTAAAACAATATTATACTGCTTTCCAAATATTCTGAGACCCTTACCCAGTATAGTTCCACTTTCATGCCTCCAGCATTTGTGTTATTGTCATATTTTTATACCTCCATGTGTTAGAGATCACACAATATGTAACACATTGTAATTGTTTGGCAGGAAGCAATTGCCTTTAAAAAAATTTTTTTTATTGTTGTTCAAGTACTTTTCTGCCTTTTTCCCCCAACAGTCCCCACCTCCCTCTCCTGTTTCTACTACTGCCCATGTTATTGTCCATGTGTCCTTTATAATTGTTCCTGCAAACTCTTCACCCTTTTTTTCTATAATCCCCTCCTGTCATCCCTCTGGTCACTGTCAGCCAGTTCTCAATTTCAGTGTCTTTGGTTATATTTTGCTTGCTTGTTTGTTTTGTTGAGTAGGTTCCTGGTAAAGGTGAGATCATATGGTATTTGCCTTTCACTGTCTGGCTTATCTCAATTAGCATAATGCTTTCCAGCTCCATCCATGCTGTACCAAAGGGTAGGAGCTCCTTCCTTTCTGCTGCATATAATTCCACTGTGTAAATGTTCCATAGTTTTTTGATCCATTCAGTTACTGATGAGCATTTAGATTGCTTCCAGCAGTTGGCTATTGTAAATTGTGCAACAAATAAAAAAAGCAAACAAAATTAACCAGAAACATTGAAATTAAGAACAATCTAACAATAGTCAGATGGGAGGGGGGAGCGGACAGTGGGGAGAAGGGTTTTCAGGAACTACTATAAAGGACACATTGACAAAACCAAGGGGGAGTGTGGAAGCATAAGAGGTAGGTGGATTTGGCTGGGGTGAGGGGGACGGGTGAGGAGAAAATGCAGACAACTCTAATTGAACAACAATAAAGTAATTTTTTTTAAAGTTTTTATTTATTTATTTTTAGAGAGAGAAGGGAGGGGGAGAGAGAGAGAGAGAAACATCAATGTGTGGTTGCTGGGGGTTATGGCCTGCAACCCAGAAATGTACCCAGGCTGGGAATCGAACCTGCGACACTTCAGTTTGCAGCCTGCTCTCAATCCACTGAGCTACACCAGCCAGGGCAACAATAAAGTAATTTTAAAAATAAAATAAAAAATGTAAGTGCATTAGAAAAGACAAATCCAAATTTCGCAAAAATATCTTGAGAAAATCAAAATAGTGAAGAATAGACAAGCAACAGCAAGCATCAAAGGACATTAATATCTCAAAAGCTGAGGATACCAAGATTACACAAAGCCACAAAAGGATGCAGGGGTCCCATCTGTGATGCCATGGGCAGAAAACCACAGGAGGCATGAAAACCTAGGAAGACAATCCCCAATCACTCCTCTTTCCAGGACTCCTGGAGAAAAATATGTTTTTTTTTTGTTAAAGAAAGTCCATGTTAGGACTGAGTCTTAGCACTGAGAGGCTAGGAAACTTCTGCTCAGATTCTGAAATAGTAGAAAAGAAAAGGGAGAAGAGATCATTGACATCAGGATGGTTTTAGGTGATGGGAGAGAGGCTGTTCCTCTCAGCCCTACAGTCCAGGAGGATTACACTGAGGAGACTGCCCAGAATCAAGCAGAACCCAGCATACTGTAGACTTTGAAAGGTCAACAATGGAGTTAGACCTTCTTTTCATGCTCCAGCTCTATCACTTACTGGTCTTGTGCTTTTGGACATGTTAATAAACATGCTTGTGCCTCAGTGTCCTCATCAGTTAAGTGGGGGTGAATTAAACTGTACCAATTTCATGGAATTAAAAGGACTGAGCAAATTGTTTTCATATGAGGACAGAGCCTACCACCTCATGAATACTTCAGAATTACTTGATTTTGAAAATTGTTTTTACCTTTGTATATTTGTCCATTGTAAAAGTACACCATAATGTACATTGCACCTCCAGTAGCACCTTAATTTTTTTTCAAACCTGTTGTGAATAGTTATAAAATGAACACACATACATATTGATCAAGGCACTCATTCAAGAATAGCCATGAAATAAATGCCTAAGGAATGGAATTGCTGGAAAAATGGGAGTGTGCAGTTACATTTTAACAGATATGATCAAACCATCCTTCAAGGAGAATGCATGAATTCACACTCCCACAAACCATTCATTTTTCGTTCATGTATTCAGGTAATCATTCATTTGTCAAGTATTTATTGAGCCTGTATGTGCCAGGCACTGCTCAAGTGATTGATATTTAGTAGTGAACAAAACAAAGTTCCTTGTTCACATAGAATATAGATTTTAGTGGATGGTAGGTACATACTAGTAATTCACTGTGGTTTTACTATTATTTCCCACATAACTGAAATAGTTGTGTACCCTTTCTCATGTTTAATGACCACTTGAAAATCCTCTTCTGCGAAATGATTATTCAAACAGTTTGCCCATTTAAAATTACTTGAAGTATCTTTGTGGGCTTTTTTTATTAGTTCTTTGAAAAATCTGAATATAAGTCCTTTCATGGATATATTCGTTGCAGATACTTTTCTTAGTGTGCACCTTCCCTTTTGATGATCTTAAATGGTATCTTGTGATGAATAGATAGAAGTTTAAATATTCATTTAAAGAAAGACCTATTTGCCAATCTTTCATCATTAGTGCTTTTGTGGCCTATTTTTTGAAAAATCTTTGCAGAGTTCTAAGTCATAAAGACATTGTCTTACATCTCACACTAGAGGCTTTAAAGTTTTTAAAGGATGGGAAGAATTAGAAGAGACAGCTCATAAATGCTATTTCTGCTGTTAAGAAAGAGGTCAATGTTGGCTAAAACACTGGTTGCATAGCAGCTGGCTTGTTTGGATGAGGCTAGCGAAACTGGCTCAGTGGTTGGCAGCTTGTCCTTCTTCAGACTGGAATGAAACAGACTTCATAGGAGGGTGATACAGAGCCTATTCCACTGAGAAGTGGAGTGGTGTCGATGTCCTTTGGATCAACCACAGATTTCAAGGTAAAATGCTGTAATATGTGCGTCAGTAGTAAAAACAGCTCCATGCGGGCCAGGCCTTCTCCAGCACAAACTCTTTTTCCTAAAAATGACACACAAATTGAATATTCATTTTTATTCTGTTCCTCAGTTAGCACACAGTCTTAAAAATATGGAATGACAACAGTGTGGTAATTGGGCGGGGGAGTGTGGGTGGAAGTGAAAGAAGGTATGGGGAATAAATGGTAATGGAAAAATACAATAAAATATTAAGTATTGAAAATGGAATGAATAAAAAGGTAAACATATTTTTTAAAAGATTTTATTTATTTATTTTTAGAGAGGGGAAGAGAGAAAGAAAGAGAGGGAAAGAAACATCAATGTGTGGTTGCCTCTCCAGCGCCCCCAACCAGAGACCAGGCCTGCAACCCTGGCATATCTCTGGACTGGGGATTGAACTGGCAATTCTTTGGTTGGCAGGCCAGCTCTCAAACCATTGAGCCACAGTAGCCAGGTCTATGAGAAAATGGTCAGCAGCACTAGCCATCAGAGAGATGCAAATTAAAACCACCTCACACCAATTAGAATGGCTGTCATAAATAAATCAACAAACAAGTGTTGGTGAAGATGAGGAGAAAAAGGAACCCTAGTACACTTGGTGGGAATGCAGACTGGTGCAGCCACTGTGGAAACAGTACGGAATTTCCTCAGAAAACTAAAAATGGATCTGCCTTTTGACCTGGCAGTTCCACTGCTGGGATGATATCCTGAAATCCAATCCAGAAGAACCTATGCACCCCAATGTTCACAGCAGCACAATTTACAATAGCCAAGTGCTGGAAGCAACCTAAGTGCCCATTAGTAAATGAATGGATCAAAAAGCTATGGTACATTTATACAATAGAATTCTATGCAGCAGAAAGAAAGAAGGAGCTCCTACCCTTTGTGACAACATGGATGGAACTGGAAAGCATTATGCTAAGTGAAATAAGCCAGGCAGTGAAAGACAAATACCATATGATCTCACCTTTAAGTGAATCCTAATCAACAAAACAAAGAAGCAAGCAAAATATAACCAGAAACATTAAGAAATTAAGAATAATCTGACAGTAACCAGAGTGGAGGTTGGAGGGGATAACAGGGGATGGGGAAGGGGGAAAGGGTTTTCAGGAATAAGTATAAAGGACACATGGACAAATCCAACGCGGGGTGGAATCAGGGAAGGGAGGTGGGGATGGCTGGGATGGGGTGTAAATGCAGACAATTGCCTTTGAACAACAATAAAATAATTATAACAAATAAATAAATATATTAATGAAAGACTAATTAAACTATGTTTCCTCCTGTCCACACCCAGACTGGATTCTCTTAATTTCCTCAACATATATATGTAATAAATAGAATTTATTGATTATACTCTTATAATTTCCCCAACTTTCTTTCCTTTGCCCCCCTCCACCCAGTATTCCCATTCCTTCCAGCAATCCCCCTATCCTTAGTTCATGTCCAGGAGTCTTGCATATAAGTTCTTTCTGTACTCCATTACCTCTACTATTTTTAATATGCCCCTATCTATTTTTCACCTACCAATTTGTGTTGGATGGATGGAACTGGAAAGCATTATGCTAAGTGAAATAAGCCAGGAAGTGAAAGACAAATATCATATAATCTCCCAGACAAGGTAAAAGTAAAGGAGTTCATCATCACCATTTAGCGTTACATGAAATGCTAAATGGAATTATGTAAGAAAGAGAAGATCAAAACAATGAATATTAAAATGGCAATAAATTCACAACTATCAAAATTGATTCCAAATAAGAAAAAAAACTAGGCAAACAAGAAGGACAATAACATGATCCATAGCTTTGGAGATCATTTGGAGGAATATCAGTTGGGAAGGGAAAGGGAAAACATGGGGAAAAGTTGTAGGGATTAACATAGGTATATTTCTCCTCATCTAGTTTCTAAAGGACAATTTTAACCTTGTTATGTCCCTGACTTTAAAAATTTTAAGAGTTTACCATTGCCAAGTATAAGAAGAAACATCACAAACTAGTCACAAGCATAACTATTCACTAATCCCCATTCAGACTGGATATTTCAGATCTTATCTCAGATTCCACTCATTTTTTCCAAGTGAAAATCTTCCTCTCTCCTCTGCCTGCTGTTATTCTTTGTTTTTCTAGACCAGCTCAGATGTCATATATTTTACACAAACTTCTTTCACCTGCTCTTGATATGTATAACTCACTCGCTTATCTGATTTCTGCAACCATCATCAATGCTTCTAATATAGCACACTTCACAGGAAATTCTAATCATTCACTCTGGCTGGTGTGGCTCAGGTGGTGGGAGCATCAGCTTGTGAGCTGAAAGTTCATGGGTTTTATTCGCCACCAGGGCACATACCTTGGTTGTGGATTCAGTCCCTGTTTCAGGGGCATCAGAAAGGCAATAGATTGATGTTTCTCTCTCACATCAATGTTTCCCTCCCTCTCTGTCTCCCCCCTTTCTTTCTTACTAAAAAACAATAAAAAAATTTTTCCTCAGGTAAGGATTAAAAAGTATATTAAAAAATAAATTCTAATTATTCATCTGTCTAGAATTCTGCAATTTAAGTTTTTAAGGTGAGGCTTTATATCTAGTGATGACTATACCCACAGTGTCCAGACAAAAGCTAGCCTGCAGGCCTTATGTTATGAATAGAAATCTTGAACAGGCTCATTGTATAGGAAAAAAGATAAGGAGCATAGCACTGTCTAGATTTAGGATCATCTCTTGGAATTGCTCATAATCTTGGGACAACAAAGCCAAGGGTTGATTGATACCTATTTTCTTAGCTTTCAATTAGATGCAAATCTCCAATTTTTTTCTCTGTTTCAGTGACTTTTATGAGAAAGGCCCATCACCCTCTACTCTTCCCACTTTTTCTCCTCTGGAGTATGCTGAATATTCTCTATTTTTCCATCCTTTCAGGTCATTCTGTGTATGTTTGTCTTTCAAGCTTACTCTGTGTTCAGGAAGCTGATTTCTATGGCCTGCATAAACCCAGAAGTTAGTTCCTTCTGGGCAATGAATGAACTTATAGAATTAGATATGGAAATAGCCAGATAATACTACCCTGTCAGGCCACAGTTTAGACAGTGGTTGTATTCCTCTACCTATAGACGCATCTACTATTGAGGCATCCCATCTCTCCTTCCTAAAGATCTATTTGGGTTCCAGTAACATTGTCCTTCCTTCATTTCTTCCATCCTAGGATGATAATGTCCTTCTGTGGGTGCTATCCCCTGAGGACTTTAGCACACTGTTACTCCCCTTAATCTTCCCCACACCTCTGAAAACAGACTTTTCATTCAACTTTCTTTAGTTGGCCTGTTTAAGCATACCACCTATTTTTTTCCCAGGACCCTGACTAATTAAAGGAAGATACATGCTACTTCCTGCAAGAAAATTTTTCTCACCCTCCACCTATGTTGCCTTCTGCCCCTCCCCACCAAAAGGCAAGATTCAGGAGCTTCTCTGCATGGGCTCCCACAACAGCTCCTCAATGACCACTTGTCTCTCTGGGGTCTCATTGCCTGTTAATTTGCCTTCCTTTCTCTTCAAGGATCTATTTCTTACTCACATTTTATCCTTGGATATGAACATGAGGCTGCCACATATAGGATCCTTGGTGAAGTGCATTGAATGAACTGACTTCTTAGGGAAGGTGAGAAAAGTCTGAGTGCAATTGGACTTCTAGGAGAAGCTGTTAGGAATCTCAGTGGAGGGTTATGGGACAGCTCATGGAGCAGACTCCCATAAGAAATAAGTTGGACCTTGGGGATGGTGGCCCTAGCCTCAGGCAATTGACCATTTGGTCAGAATAGCCTCCATGTGAAACCCTCCCTCATCTTATGTGCCCCTCATGTACAGATAAAAATGAAGCTTCCTTACCTGCTGAAAAAGGCATGAAGTAGTCACTCTTCTTAAAGTTGCCACTTTCATCAAGGAAGTGGCCGGGATCAAATTGATCTGGGTTGGGGAACTCTTTGTCATCATGCAGGACAGAAGTCAGAGATGTAAATATGGTTGTGCCCTGATACAAAGAAAGCAGATAAACTGGATTACAAAGAAGGTTATGAAGCTTGAAAAAACTAGTCCCTCATCTAATCCTCTTGTTTCATAGATGAAGATATTGAGATACAAAAAGATAATTTATATATTTCATGTCAATGACCAAGCCTAACAAGTCTTATATCATGCCAGTTCAGGACACTGCTCTGACTCCGAGGCCATCCTCTTCAGTTTGAAGTCTAATGTCAGCACTTGCTTTTCAGAAAACTAAGGAAGCTCCCTGCAATTCATTGTTTGAAATAAAATGCTCTATTGTTTAAAAGTGCTGGTGTCACTGAAAATCCAGCTCATGCTCTTTGGAACCAAGTATGAGGTCTTTTTCAGAACTCTACCTGAGTGGCTATCTTCTAGAAAACCCCTTATTTCCCAATCAAAATGAGAAACTGGTAAGTGTCCCCTCCCACTGCTTACTAGCTTCAATTGACTTGTTGCATATGTTCTTTCTTGAAATAATTGACAAGTAAGTGAAACAGATAGTTTAGGTGGTAAAGGGAGTATAAGAATCTGGCTAAGAGGTAAGAGTGATAAAACATACCCTGGAAAGCAGAGAAGTGAACAGCAGACTGGGCTGATGGGTAGGTGGACTGAACTAAAAATCCTGTGGGAATCTAAGCAGTATTATATTCATAAAATAGTATCCACAAACTAGAAGCAAAAGAGCATGTAGCCAGAGGGTGAGGTGCCTAATTTCTGAGTATGTGATACCTGCAGAAATTTAGGCAGTCTATAGTTCTACTACAGCAATTGTTCAAACCTGACGTTCTTATGGAGGAGTGTAGATGGAATATCTCTCACCTTTGGAATAAAGTAGTCTCTGAACTTAATGTCCTGGCTCACCACATGGGGCAGGTTGTTAGGGATGAGGTCAATGTATCTCTGGATCTCATGCACCACAGCATCTGTGTAGGGCATGTGGCTCCTGTCTTGCATGCAGGGGCTCCGTTCTCTGCCAACCACACGGTCAATCTCTTCCTGGACTTTAGCTGGCAATGTAGGAATCAGAATTCATGTGAAATGCATAATATTTTAGAAGTGACCTTAATTTTGGTTTCTTGTGGTGGAGATGGGGAGAAGGGAAAATTACATATGGCTACCTCCACAAGGGGAAAAAAGAAACAGAATTTCAGCTTTAGGGGAAATTGGAATCTCATTAAATACTTAAATGTATGTACATTTAAAACACAATGGTACCTTGAAATTCAGTTGTCTACTCTGACTCTCTACTTTGTGTATTTTTTTTTTGATACACTCAGAGGTCTGGGATCTTGAAGACTCACTGCAAACCATGTAGTTTAATTTCTTTGCATATGTTGTTTTTATTACCTTAAGTATGTAACTTCCAAGGTTCTATGAAGTACCCAGTACAGTAAATTCTTACGAACAGAACAATTAAATAAAAACATTTAGTTGATGCAGCAGTAGAAACAAGAAAGAAGTTAACATTTATTTAGCATACAAAACTTGACAGGCATGCCACACTATATATTATATTACTTTATAATTTCTCAAAACAGTTCTATATCTTCAGTATTAGTTTTTGTATTTAAAACTGAGGAAACAGGTCCAGAAAAGTAAACATATTTCTTAAGGACATCCAGGTGTTATGTGGTCTCTCTCATTCCCAAATCCACAATCTTAGAAAGTGAATAAGATTACTGAAAGTAAGTCATGTTAGTGAATTATTTTTATTTTATCTACCAAGTACATCACATTAATAATACATAGTTTCAGTAAGGCTATTCATTAGTTTTAAACAAATGCTTATTAATTTTTCCTTTGTGGGAAAGACTGTGAATGTTAGGAATTGTTTTCTTTTCCCTTAAAGAGATGACAGACAAACATGCAGAAGAGGTACATGAGCCTCTGGTTTCAGAGCTACTCAGTAGTAGAGTCAGAATTGTAAGTTACTGTTCTTAGAGTCTGGAACCCATTTTCTCTAATACCAGGTTGCTACTTCGGTCAAATGGGATTTATGTATCACCTGAATATGGGTCTTTGAATGGAGCATGTGGAAATTCTGTGTCTTAGTAGCTTTAAGGTAGAAAAGGTTAGGAATTTTAGAGGAGTTTTAAACTTTGCCTTCTCAACTTGAGAGTCTGGAGTTTTGTCTAGAAGAAGGTGACATGGGAAGTGGTTAGGAACTGCATATAAAATCATATTCTTAGTAAAATGTCACATTAAGAAATGATGATGGGAAGAAAAAAAAGGACAATGTAATGGGTACGATGCAAGAAAAAACCCAAAGGTAAATGAAAATGGGAATGATGGGGAAATAGGACACAATGAGGGCTTTAAATGTTTAAGAGAAATATCATATAATTTGATAATCATAATCAACATAGGTCTTACAAGAGTTAGTGAAGCGTTTTGGCTAAAAGAATCTGTGTCACATGAAAGAAACACATCATCATCATATTCCATAATGTGCACCAGCAAAGGAACTTTGAGGCCATGCTTCTAAATTGCACCATGTGGAGAGCATTTCATTTATAAGGGAGGGCAGAGGACTTCATATGAAGTAGAAAAATCTCATGCTGATGTTATGGAGATAAGCTCATGAGATTTAATTACACTAAGAGTGTCAGAAACAGAAAATGATACAGTAATGAAGGAAATATCCTTTTAGATGAGGACTCAATAGAAATGAGGAGGAAAATAGGAAAATTACATTTGTAAGAGAAGTCATGTTTGCGAGGAAAAATTTGTCCAAAAAGGTATATACAAAAACAATATTTATGAAATAGAGAATAAGCTGACAGTTACCAGAGGGGAGAGGGGAGAGAACTTCAGGAGAAAAGGGGAAGGATTTACAGGAACAAGTATAAAGGACACACGGACAAAAACTAGGGGGCAGGGTGGAAATGGTAAGAGGTAGGGAGAGCTCTGGGAGCAGGCTGGGATGGGAGTAAAACACAGAAAACTGTACTTGAACAACAATGAAAATAAAATAAAATTTAAAAAATTAATTTAAATGAAAAAAAGAATTTTTATTTGTGTATAATTTTTTAAAAGAGAGTCCCTTTGGTAGAGGAAGGTTACAGTTTTGTTAAGTCATTCTTTAAATTCAAAATGCATTTGAGTAGAAATATCTTTTACCAAAAATATGCTCATCTGGACGTGGAAGGTATATCAAATGAAATCTTTTTATGGAAAGAAGAAGGCTAGTTCTCTCTAGATCCTAATGTCTTAGGATTCATGTCTCTGTGTACGTCTCTGCGTGTTCATCTGGTCTGACCCAAAACACAGACACTCCACCATAGCAGGGAGAACAATGACCTCTGCCCTTCAAATTTGTGCTGCTATTTATACATTTTTTTCTCTTTTTGTACCATAATCTAATTTGAATTCAATTCATCCAATCATAGGAAGATGTATCAGTGATGGAAATTTTTCATGTGCATCATTTCAGCAGGTGAAGAGTAGAATGGTCATCAGTGTTTCCTGCCATTGGCTTCCCAGAACTTCATTCCACCCATCATCTATAATCTTACCTGCGACCTCTGGGTGCTTTAGCAGGAGCAGGACTCCATATTTCAGGGTGGAGCTTGTGGTCTCTGTTCCTGCAGTAAACACATCCCATATGGTGATGATCAAGTGGTCCATAGTAAATACAGAGTGTTTATTGTGCTTTTCCTAGTAAAGATGTATTAGAATTATTTGATAAATAAAAGAGCCTTGGAGATACCATAACATAACTCAGTACAACATTATTATTCGCTTAATTTCCTTATTTGACAAATTAAATCAAATATTAGAGAATATAATAGCTCAAGGTAAAGTTAGATAAGTTGTTAAGGTTCCTTTAAACTATGCAAAGAAATAAGCAAAATATAACCAGAGACATTGAAATAAAGAACAAACTGACAATAACCAGAATGATGGGGGTGGGGGTAATGGAGGGGTAATGGAAGGGTCATCAAGGAACATGTATAAAGGATATATTGACAACGCCAAAGTGGGGTAGGATTGAGGGTGGGAGGTGAGGATGCATGGGGCAAGGTGAGTGGTGGAGGGAAATTGGAGACAACTGTACTGGAACAATGATTAAAAATGCCATTAAAACATAAATAAATAAATGAATAAATAAATAAACAAACTCAATAAACACTAAAACAATCTGTAGGAGTTAGGGTGTGGACAGGGCAGGGAGAAGCATGGCAAAAAACTTGGGACAGGTGTAACCGAATAACAATGAAAATGCATAAATAAATAAAAAATAACCAAATAAAAATAAAATCAGGTTTATAAACTTTCAATGAGTCATTTCTGATATCCCTACTTTCTCATCCATGAGAGCCAATCAGTTCTTTCAAACATAGTTTTTATCAAGTCATCATGGCCACTCACTTTCAGTTCTAGCATCTCTTGTCTGTTTTATCATGTCTAAATTTCTCATTCAAGCATCAAAACCATCCCCTGCAATTGCATCACTATTCCCAATGTCACCAGTCATTACACCCATGGCCATTCCTCAGTTACTGTCAAGATAACCTCTATGAGAATTCCACACACTTGGTCATCATTCCCTAGACCTATTGTGTCTTAACTGTTAGTCTAAGCCAGAGTTTCCTCTAAAATTGCCTGCCTCATATGAAAAGATGTCCTAGTATCTTTCCAAAGGTAAGTCTTTCTTGATTCCTATCCATTCTTGTGTTCCTTCACATGTTGCATCTTGCATTTATGGAACTTAGTTTATGAATGACGTGTGTCATCATTAATCTAGAATGTGTGTGTTTGCTAGAATGTATGTAGTTCAGTCTGCTCACAGTAAAAATCAGCTTTAAAAAGGTAAATACAAACTCTTGTAAGTCATTTTTAGTGAGAATTTTAAACTCTCTCAAGCCATCAAGGATGGTTTGCATTAGTAAGAGGTTGCACAAGCAATTAATACCTCTTTAGGAAGATGCATTTGTTTTAATATTTTAATTTTACAGGATAGATAAAAACTAATCCATGAGTCACATCACACACAAAGAGGAAAACTATGGTACATTTACACAATGGAACACTATGCAGCAGAAAGGAGGAGCTCCTACCCTTCATTAACACCATGGATGGATATGGAGAACATTATGCTAAGTGAAATAAGCCAGGTGGTGAAAGACAAATACCATATGATATTACCTCTAAGGGGAAACTAATCAACAACAACAAAGAAAGCAAGCAAAATATAACCAGAGACATTGAAATAAAGAACACACTGACAGTAACCAGAGGGGAAGCCAGAGGGGGTAATGGGGGGTGGGGAAAGGGGAAGGGTCATCAAGGAACACATGTAAATGACACATGAACAAAGCCAAATGGGGTTAGGATGGTGGGTGGGACATGGAGATGCATGGGGTGGGGGGAGTGCTTAGGGGGAAATTGAGAACTGTACTTAAACAATAGTAAAGAACAAAGAAAAAAAGGTGAAGTTGAAACAGGGTTATTTATACCTTTTCCATTTTAATCAGAAAGTAGTCAATAAAGTCTCGAGGGTTGTTGAGGTCTAGGGATTCCTGGTGTTCTTTTACTTTCTCCAAAATAAATTTTTTCTGTTCAGCAATGTTTTTAAATAATTCATTATGACTTCCTGGGAGATAATGTATTAAAAAAGGGGAAAGAATTGTAGAGCTGAAAGAGTAAAAAACCATTCATTAGTCACTCAGCCTACATTTACAGGCCTATACTGCAAATCAGAGACTTTGCTACATGCTGAGTAAATAAAGATAAAAAGAGTTGAAAGACAAGGAACTGATAAAATGTCTAGAGTCACAGAACACACAATTTACAAAGCAATTCCTAAACCATTTACATTCATTTCCTAATGATAACTCTCTGAAGGAATTCAGGGGCCAACCACCTCTTTCCAGATGAGGCTACTGAACTTCAGAAAGGATAGTCCACCAGTCTAAGACAAAGTAGTGACAGAGCTAGAGGTCAGTGTTCTCCACAGTTTACCCTACACCTATTTCTACAGGCATCAAAAAAGTTTGTAGCATTCATACCCTAGTTTTATAGTGAAGAAACAGTACATTGGGAAGATTAAGAGAATGCCCAAATTACTTAGCATAGTTTTATTTAGGATTTTACAACCTCAAGAACATGCACATTGCTTGTAATTATTGGGTCTTTCCCATCCCAGAGTTTATTGATTTGCTGTAACCAGTACCTTCATGACTTAATAATACTCTTGGTAGGTACTGAAACAATTAATTCAGGCTGGTAGCTTGTATCAGACTAGATAGAGAATGGAGAAATCTAGATTCTAGGTTGACTCATTCTTTGTGACAGATAAGCTGCTTTGGAGAATATACATCGTATGTGTTGGTGATAGTTACTGCTCTAAAAAATGAGTTGACTATTTGTTCACCAGGGTCTCTTCCAGGTGGAACCTGTCATGACCTTATAATCCACACAGGATTTTAGTTGTTAATCATCATATATCATAGGCAACTAATATTTTCCTACAATGTACTATAATAAGAGGGAAGGTAGGAGGGGATAATGAGGGAAAAGCTGGGAAGGGTTTTCAAAACAACTATAAAGGACACATGGACAAAATCATGGGCAGTTGAAACAGGGGAGGGAAGGGGGGATGGCTGGTATTGGGGGAAGTGGTGGTGGTGGGGAAATGCAGACAACTGTACTTGAATGACAATTAAAAGAAAGTTAAAAAAAGAAATATTTTATACCAGAACATTCTTCATCAAGACGTGTAAAAATCAGGAAAAATGATTTCTCCAAAACAAATACCTTGTATCACTGTACACTATGACAATATTTTCTTTCTATTACTGTATTTCATGTTTTAAATTTAATTTTTACACATTGAATTGATTTGATAACTCACTAATTGGGAAAAAACAATAGTGTGATAAACACTCCAGACATTGTGAAATAGGGCAAAAGGATGTGGTATATATGAGCAATAGATTAGTCAAAAAATTATTCCCTACTTCAAGAGAACCTTGAATTTACCTGTATCCAGAAGGTGCTTGCAATTCTGAAGTTCTCATGAAAATAGTTTATCAAGGTTAGAAATTGCTTGTCACTGTACTCAAAACGGTTTTGGAAAATAATGGAGCAGATCACATTGCAGGGAACACAGCTCAGAAGGAAAGTAGGATCACAGGAAGATGCTAAAAACAATATAAATTAAGTTAGTTTAGAAATTTCATTTTAGTCTCCAGCTGACTGTTTAAAATCATTGAGATGGGTTGACCTCAAAGCCTTTTTAAGTATAGGAAGTACCTAGACATGCCACCATCACTCGAAACTCAACATGCCTAAAATAACATTATTGTGTTACCCCAGACAGAAATGTCTAATCCAGTCCAATTTATTTCTTAATTCTCCCCACAATGTGTTCTCCTGTTTACAGCATTCTCCAAATAAGAGCCACAATGTAATTCACAAAAAGGAGGTTTTTTTTAAAATCTTGAAAAATTTCCTTTACAATATACGTTACTGTTTCCTATGCTGTACTTTATATCCTCATGACTATGCATATTCTGTAACTGCCAATCTGTACTTCTCTCTCCCTCTCTCTCTCCCTCTCTCTCTCTATATATATATAGAGAGAGAGAGGGAGAGAGAGAACACTATATATATATTTACATACTTATTATTTTAATGTTGTTTAAGTACAGTTGTCTGCCTTTTCCCCACAACAATCCTACCCCCAACCCAGCCATCCCACCTCCCTACTTCTAAATCCCTTCACTCAGTCGCCCAACCCTCCTCCCCTCTGGCATCCACCAGTCTGTGCTCTGTGTCTATGAGTCTATTTCTGTTTTGCTTGTTAGCTTATATTGTTATTTAAATTCCACATATAAGTGAAATATATGGTGTTTTTCTTCTCTGACTTATTTTATTTAACATAAGGTCTTCTTGGTCCTTCCATGCTTTCACAAATGGTGAGATTTCATTTTCATGTGGTAAATATATCTTAAAAGGTATAAAATTTAGTCTTCATTATGGATACTTCTTCATGGTGCCCACAAGAAACTGAGCAACCTAGTAAGAAAGTACAGGAGACTGAGGAGACTTGCAATCTTTATTTTACAAAACTTAGTGGGAAGAATTTGGGTGTGCCCTGACTGGTGTGGATGATTGTTTTCAGGTCTGACATGCAAAACAAAATGTCTCTAGTCTGATTTCCATCAGGGCACATGTCTGGGTGCTCACCAGGTCCCCTGATAGGGGTGGGCCAGAGTCAACTGATGGATGTTTCTCTTTCTCATTTTCTCTCTCCCTTACCTTCTCTCTAAAAATAAGTCCATAAAATTTTTTAAAAAGCTGGGTGTGTGAGTTACATTACTATGGGGAAAGAGGAACCAGTCAATAATGAACTCTGCTTGAAATATAAGTTAAGTGCACAAAATCATTTATCCACATAATATGTATCAAAACTCAAGATTTGTTCACATATTAATTCCATTTCCAAAATTTTGTTCTAAGACAGTACTCAGGGATATGCAATGGTTTATATGGATTGCATTATTTTTATACAAATAGCAACAAAGTACTGAAAATAGATGATTTGGCCAAAAATAAATAGACCAGTTAAATAAACTATGGTACATCCAACATAATGGAATAGTGTGCTGTTTCATTAATAATGTTCTTTAAAAATATTTGAAAATTAAACATGTGAAAAATAGGTATTTAATATACTAAATTTAAACATAAGGTCACAGAACAATATACCCAGTACAGGCCTCATAATCTTATCCCTTCTTCTGCTAGGTTTTCCTCCCATTCCTAGGTCATATGTGTCAAAACTCCAAACAATGTTGTTCATTGATATGTTCTACTATTTCCTGAAATTCATTCTAAGGAAGACCTCAGAATTATGCAAATGTATGCAATCATGGCATTTTTATATTAATATCAGAGAAAGGGAAATAGCCCATCTAGACAGTTTAAAAACACAACTGAACCCTAGCCAGATGGCTGAGTTGGTTGTGGGAGACAACCAATTGATGCTTCTCTCTCTCATAGATGAGTTATTATATAAATAATGTTTTTGGAAAATATTTAAGTATTGTGGTTAAAAACCACATATGTCTCATGTTCCTGATCTTACCACTTTCTTGCCAAGTCTCCTGCCCACCCCTTTCTCTTTCACCCTCTCTCCTAGTCCTGTGTGTACAGACACATATACACACTGCATATATACACTGATATACACACTGAACATATGTGGGCTACCACAGCTCCCTCCTTTCTTCACCCTACACTCCTAGCTCATCTGTAATGCAGCCCTGTACATTGAAAAGATTTTGACATGAATTCTACCTTGAATGACCAGTGCTTTGTTTTCAGTTTTACTGAGATATAACTGACATTCAGCACTGTATAAGTTTAAGGTACACAGCATAATGAATTAATGTACATATATTGTGAGATATTTGCAATGTTTCTCAAGAAGTTACTAGAGAAGTTCCTTAGTTTTTCGAGTTCTTGTGGCCAAAGCTACTAGTTGATTAGCAAAATCTGTGTTCTCTTCTTCCTGAGCACATAGATAACTACAGTTCCCAGTTCTTCTTAGAGGTAGGTGTAGCCCTTTGATTAGGCTACAGCTCAAGGAATGGGAAAGAAGGCTTGTGGACCATGGCCTTAACTGGCCCATTCAAAACACTATTGGCTCCTTTCCTTGTTCTTTGCTCCTCCCACTACCATGAAAACAGATGAATTCTGTGTGGCACTGGAAGCCACATGGTGAAGATGTCAAAGCCCCTAACAGCATGGTACCTGAAAAGCCTGAAAAACACAACCCCTTCACTTCTTATGTTGGGAACCACCCTGACTGGTATCAGAAGCTAAAACCCTTGCCTAGGCTAAGGCTTAGGGAACGCCCTTGGAACCGTAAGCCAGCAAGGAGACAAAAGCTTATCTCCCTGGCAGGAATGCTGCTTCTGCTGCTTTATTCATGACTGAACCCCAAAAAGCTTGGTCGGTTAGCCAAAGACGGGTAAGATTCCCCATGGGCGGAACGACCTAAGACAGGCACGATCACTTTGGGAGGCCCCCCAAAAGAAGGACTTGGGGGGCTGCAGCAAAAGGGGGTGATGGACCCTTGCTCCTCGGCTTTGACATAGTCTGAGTTCTCAGCATCTGGGAGAAAACTTCCTTGTCTCCCAGTTGCCCTAGTTCCCTTGCTCCACCTAAGCCTGAAACAATGACAGGGTGGTGCAGCTCGGTACTGAGAAGTGCGGATTCCCCGGGGTGATCAGGCCTAAGAAAGAACATGTAAATTACTGTGAAACCTTCTTTGTTTAGAATGCTCTCAGTTGAATGAGAAGGATCTTAGGAGGAAGTTATTTTGTTCCTCAGTCTTACAGCTCTTTGACCCCCAACTCAATAGACCGGCAGAGTTCTTTGTTTTCTATGGTTCCTTACTTCCCCCTAATGAGTACTGTACTTTACCTGAATTATTATGCAGAATGAGCCCAATAAAAGCAGGTACGGACTGTAAATTGGCGCGCTCCCCACTAGGGGGGGTGGCCATTTCGTCCCTACTTCCCAACAGAAACTAGTTTGTCTCTGTGCATGTTGTTATTTCTCGCGTGTTTATTGTCGAGCCATCCACAGCGTTCCGTGGTCACTGCTGGCCGGTGACCCATGCGCAACAGCTGGCGCCCAACGTGGGGCAGTGATTCGGGACCACAGAGGTGGGACCCTGTTCGAGACCACTTGGAACCAGCGGCTACTAGCCGTCGCTGTGGACAACGCATCAACTTCGGGTGGATTTGCGCGCTAACAGCCCAGGTAAGGGCCGACGACCCTGTACTCTTTCTCGGGCATGTCATAGGATGCGTTGAATTTTCAGGGAAGTAGGTCTTTCTTTTCTAGGTCGTTTCTCTCTTCGCGACCGCCTATAATTGGGTAAATAGTAATTTAATTCTCAAGGCTGAAAAAACAAACGATTTGCCTTGAAAAAAGTAATCAGGTGATTTATTTTGGCCAATAAAAAGTAAATAAAAGTAAGCTTTTTCTTTAAAAAAAAAGGAAGGAAGGTAAACATGGGTTGTAACTTATCTAAAGGGCAGAAATCTTTTCTGCGTATATTACAACAAGTTCTTAAAGAAGCAAAATATAAGGTGAAAGAAAAGCATCTGGTTCAGCTTTTTCAATCTATAAGAAAATATTGTCCTTCGTTTCCTGATAGAGGGACGTTAGACATTGATGTTTGGGAAAAAGTGGGTGAAAGGTTGAAATCTTTGCAAAACAGTGGTATATCTATTGGTGTGCACACCTTTGTAACCTGGAGGCTTGTCAGGGATTCTCTCAAGTTCATTTGGACAAAGAAAACAGAGCTAGACGAGGAGGAATCTGATTCTGACAGTGAGATGGTGTGCAAATTGAGTGAGCAGATCACAGAGGCCCCACCTTCACCCCCACAGAGAAGGATGGATTTTGCTCTGTATCTGCTCTGAAAAGGAAATTAAGGATTCCAGGGAAGGTTGAAACTTCACACTCTAGGAATGTAAATGGGAAACTGTAAAGATAAATGGAAAAGTAAAAGTTTTAGGAAAGAAGTTATGTGATGTTAGTTAGTAATTGAAGGTATAAGGCATGGAAATGCAATCTTGGTGAATAGCATAAGGGGTATGAAAGAAAGATTAGAAGGTTTGTGAATGTTTCAGAAAGTCTGTGGAAGTAAACATTTTAAGAAAGAATTATGTGGTGTGTGTTAGTAATGGAAGGTATAAGGCATGGAGATACAATCTTGGTGGATAGCAGAAGGTGTATGAAAGAAAGAATAGAGAGTTTGTGAATGTTTCAGAAGGTCTGTGGAAGTGAAAGTTTTCAGAAGCCTGGTAGATATCAGAAGGAAAAGGATTTTCCTTCACACTTTGTATTTTTCTCCCTACCTGATCCCTCCAGAATTTGGCATTCTAAAGGAGTGAATGATGACATAAGGTTTCTTTGCTTAAATCTAACAAGACCAGTCGTTAATAGTGGTTATGATTTAATTGTGCCTTCCAACTCTTTACAAATCTGTCATCTCCAGAATATGACCAGAAAATGAATGAATCCAAATGGCATTATAGCATTTAACAATGCACTGCCCTCCTTATGAGTCTGACAGTTTGTTAACACCTGGTTGCACTTATTGTTTAATCAATACTACTTTAGAATTAGTCCAACAGGCCCAAATAGATCAGGAGATCCTGACCCGCCTTTCTGCAGTTGAATCAGCACTGGACTGGATTGGCGAATGCCAGGATGCTCTCGTGACTCGTCAACACCTAACCTGTGACCCTGGTTTCTCCAGACTGTGTGTCACACCGCTACGGTGGAATTCCAGCCAACATACTTGGACTGATATACAACATCACTTGAGGGGAGCTTTCTCCACTAACTTAAAAGGACAAATTGATAAATTGCAGTTGGAGTTACATCAGCAGCTGCAGGACATTCAATATTTAACCAAACAGGACATTTTTCGAGCCCTTAATGAAAATATTAATTGGCTGATTCCTAAAACATGGTTTGATGGAATTAATTTGAGAATTTGGGTTTTTGGAGCTGCTGGTTGTTTACTGATTGTAATATTGATTTGTGTACTTCGGTGTATTTGCAAATTGTTTTGCCAGGGTCGTATCAGAGACCAGCAAGTAGCCACCTTTATGGAACCCTTAGCAGTCCTAACTGAAAACAAGGGAGAAGGTATGAAAAACCACTCTGGCAGGCGTAAAATTAAAACTCAACACCCATGTAAGAAAGTAGGTAATGAGTCGGTGCGCAGAACTGCACCTCTTAAGAAATCCTCTCGTAAGAAGTCAGGCTTGCATTATGCTCAAACTGCCATGTGATTTGCCTTTCCTGATATCTATGTAATTTCTCTCAAAGATTGAAATGTAATCAGACCTATTACTTTTGTTTTTCCCTTAATATGTTTTCTTGCACTGAATTTAGAAATTTAGGTATTCACAACCCATAGAATTTAGTTTCTGCTTTATATTTCTATCATTGCCTTATGATGTATGTAGATGTTTCTTTTCTTATGATTTGCATTCGAAAACAGCAAAAGTAGGTTTCACAGGCTTAACAACCACAATTGATTTTAAAAACTAAAAAAGGGAGAGATGTTGGGAACCGCCCTGACTGGTATCAGAAGCTAAAACCCTTGCCTAGGCTAAGGCTAAGGGAACGCCCTTGGAACCGTAAGCCAGCAAGGAGACAAAAGCTTATCTCCCTGGCAGGAATGCTGCTTCTGCTGCTTTATTCATGACTGAACCCCCAAAAGCTTGGTCGGTTAGCCAAAGATGGGTAAGATTCCCCACGGGGGGAACGACCTAAGACAGGCACGATCACTTTGGGAGGCCCCCCAAAAGAAGGACTTGGGGGGCTGCAGCAAAAGGGGGTGATGGACCCTTGCTCCTCGGCTTTGACATAGCCTGAGTTCTCAGCATCTGGGAAAAAACCTCCTTGTCTCCCGGTTGCCTTAGTTCCCTTGCTCCACCTAAGCCTGAAACAATGACAGGGTGGTGCAGCTCTGTGCTGAAAAGGGCGGATTCCCCAGGTGATCAGGCCTAAGAAAGAACATGTAAATTACTGTGAAACCTTCTTTGTTTAGAATGCTCTCAGTTGAATGAGAAGGGTCTTAGGAGGAAGTTATTTTGTTCCTCAGTCTTACAGCTCTTTGACCCCCAACTCAATAGACCGGCAGAGTTCTTTGTTTTCTATGATTCCTTACTTCCCCCTAATGAGTACTGTACTTTACCTGAATTATTATGCAGAATGAGCCCAATAAAAGCAGGTACGGACTGTAAATTGGTGCGCTCCCCACTTGGGGGGGTGGCCATTTCGTCCCTACTTCCCCACAGAAACTAGTTTGTCTCTGTGCATGTGGTTATTTCTTGCGTGTTTATTGTTGAGCCATCCACAGCGTTCCGTGGTCACTGCTGGCTGGTGACCCACACGCAACATTCTTACTACTGGTATGTGAGCAAAAAGTAAACTTATGCTCCACTTGAACCATGTATCTCACTATGGTCTACTTGTAACAGCATTCAGTTTACTCAAACTATTCCTAGTAATTATACAGAGACATACACACCATTGGTCTTTCTTAATGCTTCCACCAGACACAAGGCTTCTTCTTGAATTCTGTCTTCAATAGTCTTCTTTCCCATTCCCATATTCCGCAAAACCATGAGGGAGAATCGCCGAGTTTGTTTCCATATTTCCCCATTGCTGAAAACAATACCTATCAAGACAAAACACAAATGTTAAAGAAGACTTCAATTTTCATTAATTCTAGGTGAGGGACTTATCTCAGGAAATGATAATGTCACTTAAGAAGAAATGTAAATACAGTGTTTCCAGCGTTAGGAATTCCTACTGAGCCCTGCTTTGCCTGCCTTCTCTATTACCCCAGCCTAGAAGCTTACTGTCAAGGATCTTGGTTTTACACATTATTAAACTGTTATTCATCCATTAATGCGTATAAATGTCACAATAACTCTGTGACCTAGTTATTGTCACCAATTAACTGATAAGAATGCTGAATATCACAAAGGCAAAATGTTTACTACTTGATCACACAGCTAATAAATTATGGTGAGTCTGAGTAACAGCTTAAATTTTCAGGGTCAACTTCTATGTATTGTAAGTAAATTTTAGGAGCTGTAACAAATGGAGTTAATTCTTGAAAGGAGGAAAGAGAGCTCTTGTGCATTAGAAGGATGCTCATGAAAATCTAACCCTCAGGCAAGGTATGAGAGAGAGAGAGAGGGAGAGGGAGAGGGGGAGAGAGAGAGAGAGAGAGAGAGAGAGATTCGTTGTTTTAGTTATTTATGCATTTATTGTTGATTCTTTCATGTGCCTTCACCAGGGATCCAACCCACAACCTTGGTGTATCTCAATGCTGCTCTAATCCACTGGCTACTGGCCAGTTCTGTAATGTGCTCTTAATACGAAGGAAATTCAACATCAGACTTCCCGAGTCAAGACAACGGGAATTGGGTGGGTGGGGAAGGGTTGGGAAACAATGCTCATGGGAAATTTGATCAAGATTGTTGACAATAAGTGGAAGAAAAAAATGACCCCATTCAGACTTTATCTAATTTAGTCAGAACCCAGGGACCCTCCAGAGGACTGGACAGTTTAAGTGTAGCTCCAAGCACAGATGAAAGATAGTTCAAGTAGTTAGTTTAAACAGCTTTTTGTAATATCAATTCCAATTCATTCTTACTATGTGTTTCTCCATAGTCCCCTTTTCAGTGCATATTTGTGCTTTATGCTTTGCATTTTATTGAATCCAAATATTACTTATCCTTTTTAGAATATGAGAAGAATTAAAGATAAGGTTGGAAATATTCCATTGTTATGTTGGTTCCATGCATATAATGCAAGCCTTATAAAATAATCTCTTGGCAACCATGAGTCAGGATAGAAAGCAAAATATTTGGAGAATAGGATAATTTGGTGAATATCCTCATTCCTCTTTTCTCTCTCTCTCTTTCTCTTTCTTAACAGGCCGTAATTGAAAATGAACATGGCTTAGCCATGGCTGGAATGGCTCAGTGGTTTGAGTGCCAGCCTGTGAACTAAAATATCTCTGGTTCTATTCCCAGTCAAAGCACATGCCTGGGTTGTGGGCCAGGTCCCTAGTAGGGAGTGTTTGAGAGCAGACAATCAATTTATCTCTCACACATTGATATTTCTCTTCCTCTCTTCCTCTCTCCCTTCTCCCTCTCTAAAAACAAATAAATAAAATCTTTAAAGGCATAATGAACATAGCTTAGTCACAAATTCATAGAACATTAGTGTTTTGTGAATTTCTTTAAATTGCATTTACTGTTTTATGGAGACATTGTGTCACCCTCAGAATTTTAAATATGGATGAATAATCCTTCATGGAAAATTTTGGAAGTATATTATTTCCATCGATTTCTCTATGTTTAAGTTTCTCAATTCCTTAGCCTATTTGGAATCTTTGCAACTTATGAATACACACACGTTCCCCAGATTGAAGCATACCTGATCCCTGGAAGATATTGTCTATAATTGGAAAACTGCCTCTGCCAGAGAACTCCTCAGCCCGATCAATCAGGGCTTCCTTCACTGCCTCATATCCATAGAGCACCACAGTGGGCTTCCTTCCAAAGTACACAGTGAACACCGGGCCGTAGACTTTTGCTAGCTAAGAAAGAAATAGGAGATGCAAGAAGAGTGAGAATTTCAAAACTAAGAATGGAGATAAGTGAGATAAATACTTTTAATCTTATTGAGAGACATTTTAATATCCATTCACTCATTATACCAGATTTCATCTTCTAGATCCAGTAATTTAATAGAAACCAATTAAATGGTAATTATTATCATGCTACTGGTAATATTGCTATTATTATTATCACCTTTAGTAGTTATCTTATATGACTCTGTCATAAATTTTATTCATGTTATTTTATTAATTTCTTTCTGCCAAACTTTAATTGCTCCAAATTTCCTTCCTTCCTATACTTGCATTACGATGAGTGATACGTATCTCCTGTTTAGGTGAAGTTTTCCCATCTTGTCCCAGGTGCAGGCAAATAATCATCCCTCATTACCTATTCTCTACATCTTCTCATTAGCACCAGAGACCTCTATGTTCTATTACTACATAAGCACATGGAGCCTTGTTACACACCTTTCCCAGCTTCCCTGTGTGGTCATGTGGCTAAGCTTCCATCAGCTGATGTCAGCAGAAGTGATCATGTGGGAAAATCCTACACTGTGGCATAAATGGTCACAACATGCTCTCTGCTTCTCCCACTACTCAGGGTTGAGGTAACCAGCATGCAGATGGTCCACTCTGACCATGAAAATGAAAACAAGATCCTAGGGGCAAAGGAAGGTAAACCACAAGATTGAGAAAAAACTGGTTCTCTGAGTGGCCTCATAGAGGAAAGGCAGCCCACCAGCAATCACTTTTATATGTAATGGAGATAGAAATAAACTCTTGACTTTTTTAAGCCATTGCATTATGGGAGTCTTTCTCTTATGGCAGCTAATTCAGCATAGTCAATGATGTAGGACTTGAATTCTTTCCAGGTATCCAATGTTTGAGTCCTTTTGCTACCTTAAAATTCATTCTGCAACTACAATTCATTTTCCAATTCATTATCCAGAGTGGTCTTTCCACAAGGCAAATGTTAACACAACAGTCCTTTAAGCATGTTAAAGTCATCACATTGCTCTTATGCTGAAGACCACAATTCTTAAAATCCTTGTAAATCCAGCATGCTCTAGTCTCAGTTGAACTCTTCAATCTCAACTCATGGCATATTTTTACAATACTTTCTGGGCTATAATCAAATTGTTCCCTTTTCCAGGACTCTAATAAGTCATTCTTCTCCACGTTGGAAAATCCTGGGACAAATTTTTTATCTGATTTTTGTCTAGTTAATGCCTAATCATTCTGTAGATTTCAGCTTCAAATTCAATTCCTCAGAGAACACTTTGCTGACTGGTCCTCCTTCCCCTAGCCTGCCAAACTCCATGGCTGGCGTCCATTGGATCCCTGTCACTTCGTTTATCATCATACAGTTGTTTCCATATTATATCATAAATTCATGCCTACCCTCAAGATTGTAAATTCTATAATTCTCGGGACTTTTTTTCCCCATTCACCATTGGAAATTCCTAGTGCACCAAAGAAGACTAAAATCCTGCCATTTGCAATAGCATGATGGATCGAAAGGTTATTATGGTATGTGAAATCAGTCAGTCAGAGGAAGACAAATATTATATGATTTCACTTATATGTGAAATCTGAAGAACAAAAAAACAAACAAAATTAAAACAGACTCATAGACACTGAGGCAGGACAGGTAATTGCCAGAGGAAATAGGGGTTTAGGGGAACAGATGAAAGAGGTGAAGGGGTTAAGAAGTAGAAATCAGTAGTTACAAAATAGTCACTGCAAGTAAAGTACTGCATAGAGAATACAGTCAATAATATTGTAATAACTATGTAGTGTGCCAGATTGTTAACTGAAATGTTAGAGTGAACACTTTGTAAAGTATGTAATTGTCAAACTACTGTGCTGTACCCCTGAAACCAATAAAAATAGTATTGAAAAAAAATTCCAAGTGCTTAACATGCTGTCTAACACAAAGTAGGCATTTGATAACTTGTTGAATATATGAAAGCTAATAATTTGTGCAAAATAATTATCAGTCATTTCTAAAGAAATGGAAATTGAGCCCTGGCTGGCGTAGCTCAGTGGATTGAGCATGGGCTGCGAACCAAAGTGTCACAGGTTCGATTCCCAGCTGGGGTGCATGCCTGGGTTGCAGGCCATAACCCCCAGCAACCGCACATTGATGTTTCTCTCTCTCTTTCTTTCTCTCTCACTTCCCTCTCTAAAAATAAATAAATAAAATATTAAAAAACAAAGATGAACTACTTTCTTGAAAAAAAAAAAGAAATGGAAATTGAAGCTCAGAGAGATTTTAAAAAGTTGCCTAAGGCTAAAGTCAACAAGGGATTCTGATACATCCCTTTGAATCCAGAGTCTGAAACACAGGAAGGAGTTTCCAGGGGCACAGCTCTGGTAACCGGCTGTGTCTGGGAAGAGAGATCTCAGAAAAGCCCCTCAATATTTAGAGCACTATTGCTGTGTAAATAGCAAAGAGCAGAGCAGTTATTCATTTACATATTGAGCAAATATAAATCTAATAGAAAGTGTGAAAGTTCCCGAACCTTTAGTTATTTCCATAACTCCACATCAGTGTGCTTTTAGGAAAATTTAGAGTTGTGAAGCTATAAATCAGTACATTTTTTTTCAAAAGCTGAAAGTAGTTTCATTGTTATTAGAGTTCACCAAAGATTAATTACTAGAAAGAAGACCTAGCTCACAATATTGACAGGGAATTCCTCCTTTTGGCAATTTTAACAATCACCTGATTGTTCTCATTCCCTTCTGGACACCTCTAGCTGTGAGATGCTTAAAATCATGTCATGTAGGAAAGGACAAGAACCATAAAATTTCACTCATATGTGGGATATAAAGCAGAAAGCAGCAAATGAACAAAAAAACAAACTCTTAGACACAAACAGTATGGTGGTTGCCAAAAGGGTGGGAGGGTTGAGTGGAGGAGAAAGAGGATAAAGAGGGTGAGATACACGGTCACAGAAGGACATTAGACTTTGTGTGGTGAGGCCACAATGCAATATACAGGTGATATATTATGGATTTGTACACCTGAGATGTGTAAAATGTTATTAATCAATGTTACCCCAGAATATTTCATTAAATTAAAAAAAATGGAATTGTATCTGCGTGTCCAATGAACATTTTCCTTTCAAATGACTTCTTTAACGCATGGTGTCTAGGTCCATATTTTACTTAGATATAGCACTGTCTTGTTTACTCATTGCAAATGATTGGAAGAAAATTAATCATACTTAACCTTGCTTATGGATTCCTTGATGTTCTTAATATTTATCTGTAGAACGTTTCCAACAATTGGGAGAGGAGTAGGGCCAGGTGGCAGCTTCCCTTGGGCATAGCTTCGGTTCCATAGGAAAAGGAGAATCAAACAAGAAAGACAAATTGCCAGGACTATGAAGAGATCCATTGATGTGTTTTGCATAAGTGCAATTGAAAGTTTGTAACCTCAAAAATTTTTAAATACTAAATGCAAACTGATTTCCCAACAAGCACTCTCTGTGATCTTTTGGTTAAATATTGTTTCATCTTCAGTGTTCTTTGGCCTGCTGGTAGAGAGTAGAAGAAAAACAACAAAAAAAAGTACAAATTCATGGATGCAGACAACAGAATTGTAGTTAGCAGAGGGAAGACCAGTAGGGGGTAGGACAAGGAAGGTAAAGGGTGTGAAATATATGCTGACAGAAGGAGACCAGACTTTGGGTGGTGAATTCACAATAGAATATAAAGATGTTGTATTATTTTAAACTTGTACATCTGAAATTGATATAGGTCATTAACCAATGTTACCCTAATAAAGTTAATTTTTAAAACTGTCATGTTGCCCTGGCCAAGTAACTCAGTTGGTTACAGCATTGTCCCTACACACCCAGGTTGTGAGTTGATCTCAGGTCAGGGTACATACAAGAATCAATCAATGAGTGCATAAATAAGTGAAAGAACAAATCGATGTTTTCTCTCTTTCTCCATCCCTTTCTCTCTAAAGTCAACATATTTTTTAAAAAACCTGCTTTTTAGCACTAAATTTATATAAAATTAAAATGTAAAACACATGTTAATATAATTGATTTATGTAATAGCTTAAGTTAATTTCTCTTACAGCATTTAATCTGTTTGCTATCATTTGTTTCTCTGAATCTGCTGAAGATATTACATTTTTACTCTTCTATTGTTTATGCTATTACAGTTGGCCTTTTGCCACCCTTTGCCCAGCACATACCACACTTCCCTAGACAATCTCCACACCCATAGTCCGTGTCCATGGGTCCTTCACCAATGTTCATTTACTCATCTCTTAACCTTCTTTCAATCAGTCCCTGCCTCTCCCCTCCCCTCTTACAGCTGTCAGTCTGTTCTATGATTCCATGTCTCTGGTTCTATTTTGCTCATAAGCTTATTTTGTCCATAGATTCCTCTTATAAATGAAATCATACAGTATTTGTCTTTCACTGACTGGCTTATTTAACTTAGCATAATACTCTCCAGTTCCTTCCATGCTGTTGCAAAAGGTCAGAATTCCTTTTTTTCTGTTGCCTAGTATTTCACTGTGGAGATGTACCACAGTTTTTAATCCACTCAATTACTAATGGGCACTTAGGCTGTTTCCAAATCTTGGCTATTGTAAATAGGACTGCTATACAAATGGGGGTGCATAAATTCTTTGGAATTGGTGGTTTGGGACTCTTAGGGTATAATCTCAGGAGCAAAAATGCTGGGTCAAAAGGAAGTTCCATTTTCAGTTTTTGAGGAACTTCTATACTCTTTTCCACAATGGCCGCACCAGTCAGAAAGCGCTCCTATAGTGCACTAGGGTTCGACCTTTTCTCCTCATGCTCACCAGCACTTGTTTGTTGATTTATTGATGATAGCCATTGTGATGGGTGTGAGGTGATAACTCATTATGGTTTTAATTTGCGTCTCTCTGATGGCTAGTGATGTTGAGCATTTTTTTATGTGTCTATGCGCCCTCTGTATGTCCTCCTTGGAGAAATCTTTATGCAGTTCCTTTGTCTCCTCCCTTGTTTTGGTTGCTTTTTGTGTCTTCCTGGTGTTGAGTCATAAAAGCTCTTTATGTATTTTGGAGGTTAAACCATTTTTGACTGTATCTTTGGCAAATGCATTCTCCCATGCAGCTGATCCCCTTTTCTTTTTTAGGATGGTTTAACTGTGCCAAAGATTTTTCATTTAATGTAGTTCCAAGTGGTTATTTTTCTTTTATTTCCCTTGCCCTAGGAGTTATATTGTAAAAAACATCACTATGTGAGATATTGAAAATTTTACTGCTTGTGCTTTCCTCTACAGTTTTTGTGGTATCACTACTTATATTTAAGTCTTTTATCCATCTTGAGTTTTTTTCTGGTGCATTGTGTAAGAAGGTGATCTAGATTCATTTGTTTTGCATGTACCAGTCCAGTTCTTCCAACACCATTCATTGAAGAGACTTTGTTTATTTCATTGAATGCTCTTGCCTCTTTTATCAAATATTAATTGACCATAAAAACTTGGGTTAATTTCTGGGCTCTCCATTCTGTTCCATTGATCTATGTGTCTGTTCTCATGCCAGTACAAGACTGCTTTGATTACAGTGGCCTTGGCCTTGTAGTATTGTTTGATATCAGGAATTGTTATCCCTCCAACTTGTTTCCTTTGTCTCAAGATTGCTGAGGCTTTTGGGGTTCATTTTGGGTCCATATAAATTTTTGGAATATTTGTTCCAGATCTGTGCAATGTGCCCTTGGTATCTTAATAGGAATTGCATTGAATTTATAGATTGCTTGGGCACTGTGGACATATTAATGATATTAATTTTTCCAGTCCATGATAAGGTATTTTTCCCCACTTTTTTGTGGCCTCCTTAGTTTCTTTCTTCAGTATCCTATAGTTTTGTGAGTATAGGTCTTTTACCTCCTTGGTAAATTTATCCCTCGGTACTTTATTATTATTATTTTTGCAATAATAAATGGAATTGTTGTAATAATATGTCTTTCTCATAGTTCATTATTGGTGTATAAGAATGGCATCGATTTCTAAATATTGACTTTGGAACCTGTTACTTTGCCAAATGCATTTATTAGGATGAGTAGATTTTGGTGGTGGGGGGAACTACAGAGTTTCTATATATAATATCATGTTGACTGTGAATAATGATAGCTTACTTCTTTTTCAATTTAGATGTCACTTCTTTTTCATATCAGCTGTTACTTAATTTTTTAAAAAATATTCAGTTGGGATGCCCTTTATTTCTTGTCTGATCACTGTGGCTAGGACTTCCAGTACTATGTTGAATGCAAGTAGTGATTGCAGACACCCCTGTCTTTTTCCTGACCTTAAGGGAAATGCTTCTTGTTTTTGCTCACTGAGTCTGACGTTGGCAGTGTGTTTTTCATATATGGCCATTATTACGTTGAGGTACGCTCCCTGTATTCCCATTTTGCTGAGTGTTTTTATCGTAAATGTGTGCTGAATTTTATCAAATGCTTTTTCCATATCTGTTGATGTAATCATGTAATTTTTGTCCTCCACTTTGTTTATGTTATGTATCACATGTGTTGATTTATGGATATTGTACCATCCTTTCATCCCTGGACAAAACCCACTTGATCAGGGTATATGATTTTTTGGTGTATTGTTGGATCTGGTTTGCTAATATTTTGTTGAGGATTTTACCATCTAAGTTCATCAGAGATATTGGCCTGAAATTTTCTTTTTTTGTTATGTCTTTACCTGGTTTGGAATTAGGATAATACTGGCCTTGTAAAAAGAGTTTGGAATTAGAAGACTTCCCGGTTTTTGAATTTTTGGGAATACTTTGAGAAGGATAGCTGTTAGCTCTTCTTTGAATGATTGGTATGATTTGTCTGTGAAGTCATCTCTCTGGGGCTTTTATGTGCTGGGAATTTTTTAAAAAATAGGCAATACCTCTTCATATTTTTTCAAATTATTAGAAGTTATTATTTTTAATTATTGTTCAAGTACAGATGTCTCCATTTACACCCCATCCAGCCCCCCATCCTGCCCCCCATCCCACCCATCCCTGTCTCCCACTCTTGACCTTCTCCCTTTGTCTTTGTCCAGGTGTCCTTTATACATGTTCTGTAATGGCCCTTCCTCACTCCTCTCCCCACTCCTCTCTGGTTACTACTTCAATTTCTCTAGTTGTTATTGGTCTACTCAGGTTTTCTGTGTCTTCCTGATTCAGTTTTGGAAGACTGTATGTTTCTAGAAACTTGTCCATTTTTCCCAGGTCATCCAATTTGTTGGCATATAGTTGTTCATAGTAATTTCTTACAATCCTTTGTGTTCTTGGGTATCAGTTACTTCTAACCTGTCATTTCTGATTTTACTCATGTGGGTTCTTTCTTTTTTTTTTTTCTTCATAAGTCAGGTTAAAGGTTTGTTCATTTGTTTCAATATACCAGCTTCTGGATTCATCACTCTTTTGAATATTTTTTTATTGTCTATGTCATTTATTTCTGCTCTGATCTTGATCATTTCCTTCCTTCTACTCACTCAGAACTTTGTTCTTTTCTAGTCCTCTTAGATGTATGTTTAAGTTGTTTATTTGAGATTTGTCTTTCTTTTTAAGTAGGCCTGTATAGCTATGAATTTCCCTCTCATTGCTGCATTCACTGTGTCCTGTAGCTTTTGTGTTGTTGTGTGTTTATTTTCATTTGTTTCCTGGTACTTTTTTATTTCTTTCTTGATCTCATTGTTAACCCATTCTTTGTTTAAAACCATTTTATTGATCCTCCATGTATTTGAATGGTTTTCTTTTATGTTGATTTCTACTTTCAGGGCATTGTGATCCAAGAAAATTCTTGATTTCAATTTCCTTGAATTTGGTGAGGCTTATTTGTGTTCTACCATGTGGTCTGTCTTTGAGAATGATCCATGTGCATTTGAGAAGAATGTATATTTTGCTTCTTTGGGGTGAAATATTCTGTTGATATCAGTTAAATCTACTTGCTCTAGTTTGTCATTTAATGCTGCTATATCCTTATTGATTTTTTTTTTTTTGTCTGGAAGGTCTGCCCTTGTTGGCAGTGGGCTGTTAAAATCCCTGATTATGACTGCATGGCTATTATTCTCTTTCTTAAAGTTCTGCAAGACCTTCTTTATATATTTAGGTGGTTCTATATTGGGTTTGTATATGTTTAGAAGTGTTATATCCTTTTGTTGGACTTAACCCTTAAGTATTATGTAGTGTCCCCCTTTGTCTTTTATTATGGACTTTGTTTGTAGTCTATTTGTTCATATAGAAGTATTGCTACCCAAGCATTCTTTTCATCTTCATTTGCATGGAATATTTTTTCCATCTGTTCACTTTCAGTCAGTGTAAATTTTTTGTTCCGAGGTGGTCCTTGTGCAGACAGTATCTATGCAGGTCCTGTTTTCTGTTCAGCTACCCTATGTCTTTTGATTGGATCATTTAATCCATTTACATG